CGAATGCAGGCTTTCACAAAATTAACTGAACATTTGATATTTATTTCTATGATATTCACAAATTGTTTAGCTGACTGAAATAAAACAATGAAAGTAATGACCATTACACTTTCTCGAATGATTCAGAAACCGAGGCTGTATCTCTTCTGATAAGAGAATCTCTGGGCTGGGCACAGCATCTCTCGCATCTCAAAGAGCCGATTGGCTGAAAGCTCAGCATCCTTTCTGAATGGCTGATGAACTCAACACCCCTCGCATCTCTAAGAGGTGATTGGCTAAGAACCTCAACAACGTTCGCATCTCTGCGAGCTGATTGGCTGATGCCTCAACATCTCTCACATCTCTGCCGCACTGTCCTTCAGCTCTGAAGGACGCCATTACCCGCTCCTCTCTCTATTGCTAACAATAATTTTTATCAGAGTTGTATCACATTATATAATATACTAACAGATTCCAGCACTTGTGAAACGTCTAATACATGCATATTCATTTGTAAGATGTTCATTTTTGTTTAATAAGGCTACAGTGAATAATTTTGCCATCATCCCAAAATTGATTATAAATAAACCAGTTAGAGAAATAGCACTCATGTTGTCGCATTTTCAGCAAAATTAAGTAAAACATTAATTCCTAATTGAACAAATGAACGCGATAATGAAACAGTAAGTTAATATTCTCTGGAACGCAGATTTTAGAATTCACTAATAACTAAATGCTGTTAACGGTTTATTCTTTCACGCGAATATAACATAACATTGTAACCATAATCACAATCAGAGCAAATATTAATATATTTCTCAATGCTATGGCAGACAGATCAGATAAACCCTATTCAAGCATCATCTCATTCCAGCGACCACAAATTAAATGGATCCTCCACTCATTTATGTCTTAAATACATATAGTGGAAGTGTTAAAAGTGTGGAGAGAGAAAAAAAATCACAAATATGTAAAAGATAAACGCTCTCACCGTCCTCGATGTTTTCAGAGATCCCTTCACCTCTGCGATGATGATCAGACGTGCTACGTGACGTCACGCCTGCTGGTGCTGTCAGGGTCACGTGATTGCTTTTTATGTGTACATTTATGTACTGTCCCTTTTGCTTATGACCAATGTTTATACAGTGGTTTATTATTATTTTATTTTTTTAAAATGTTGGTTGTTCTTATTAACGTGTGCCTCTGCTATTACAACCAACCCTTAAGAGTTTGTAGCCTTCTACATTGCATTGATAAAAAAATAGGTTACGTGGATAAAATGAATCACCATTACTGAAATTATTTAGGGAACATGATTTGATATCTTAGAAAGATGAAGATTTTTATACTAGCATATGTTTTCTTTTGGATAGCTGACATGACATTTCATTAGCATCCCCATTCATCAGTTGGTCATTGTGCAGGACCACACAGATAAATACAGTATCTGAAGTCTGCTTTTTTATTTTATTTTTTTTATTCTGCTGAGGGAAAATAATGTCATGAGTCATGACATTGCAGACAGGGATAATAATAAGTCTATTATTGAGCCCTCCAAAACAGAATCTGTTGACCATTGGTAAAACATCTACTATATTTGTGATTTAAATATGAATATAAATAAATATAATATAAATATAAATAATATAATAATATACATAATTTGAAAAATTTAAAAGGAAAGTCTGATTAAAGGTATTTTATATTTAGAATAAACAATACTGATGGTTAATGCACAATACATCCAGAAATGATGGTTAACCAGAAATATTAATAAAATAGGGTCCTTTTTCATTTCATATTAACATTTGAAGGTATTTTGTAGCCAAAAAATTCATACTTTTCTTTACATAATACTGCTTTATGGAGCAAAAGAGAGATAGAATTTCTGAGTATTCTTCTTTTGACACTTATGACAATATGTATCTAACTAGTTCAATAGTTAGCTCTCTGACTCAGACTATTTAATTATTTAGCCATATAGTGTTTACGGGAATAGACCTTTACTCTGTGTGGTCTGATAAAGACTGAATGATGCAGGTTCGTGTGAAACAGCGAAAGGTGAGAGTGCAAACCTCAGAAGAATGTAGCACAGACTCTGTAATGAACCTCTATATATTTAGAGTCAGAAACTACTGAAGAACCAGAGGTGAGAAACATACAAACGCCTGACAATTCACACTGACCAGCTGTAACAAGCTGCGACTCTTTCCTTTGCGTTGCATGGTAACCCCTAAATAAGGCCATTTAAAGTATTATGAATTTCATTACGTACACCTGTTAACTTATAATGCCAAAGCTTTGATATTTTTGAATTTTATTTAGCACCCGGACAATCAAAGCTCTGAAGATAATGAATACCTTATCTGGCCCTGTTTACACCTGGTATTAAGATGGTATTTGGTATTTGGTCGATCGGATTGCAAATGGCCGAGGGAAACACATTCCCGTTTACACCTGGTGTTTTCATCCGTCTCTTTTGTCCACTTTCAACCACTTTTGTACTGATTTCTTTGAGGGGAGGGTCTATGGGCGGGCGGGCGGGCACATTTGTGGGTTACAGTCTATATGTTTTTTCCAGATCTTTCGATCTAATGGATAAAATAAGCTTGCACAATATACTGTATGAACGCGAAAGGAGACTCCAAACCACACTGAACTTGGTACTTGGTGCTTGGTATGTTTTCCCTCTTCAAACCAAACCTGGGTCTTAAGCCAACAAATTTAAAATCCAGCCTTCCCACAATGTTTACGCATCAGGTCAGTAGGTGGACAGTAGCCGGTCTTTTGTGGCTGTTCAAACACATACGACTACATGAGCGTTTACACTACGAAAGCAATCCGGCCTAATGCGTTTTCGACTATCTCTGGAAATGGTAGAAGGTGGACAAGCTCAAAGCGTTTTAGACCCCGTTTACACCTGTACTTAGCGTCGTCCACTTGTGATCCGATCGACCAAAACGCATCTTAATACCAAACAGGGCTTCTGATGTTTAAAGTTTCACTGAGCTCATTTTTGGAGTCACTCCAAATCCACAACACCATTTTTTTTTTCATTCTACTGGGAAGGAAATACATTAATGTTATCATCAATTAATCTTCACTGAATATTATTCTCTCTAAAATATTATAGCTTTCTATCAGTGTAGCATTCAGCTGGTTCGTTTGCACCATTTCTCCCTGCCTTTGTTGTCATGGTTACTAGTTTGATTTTATTATCTCATTCAGCTGTGTTCCCCTCATTATCCTGTGTACATAAGTTATTGTGTTTCATTCTTTGGTTGTTGGATATTGACTCTGGTCGGTTGTGTTTCCCTGCCAGTCACTGGGTGTATTCCTGTGGATTAAAGACTGCGTTGAACTTTCCTCTTCCTTGTTGTGCATGTGATTATCACTACCGATTTGTGACAACAAGTAATGGATGAGATGGAATAGTACACCCACTCGCACATGCATACACACGCAGGGCCCACACGCATAGTAAGAGCTCAAGTTATTTTTGTAAACTCTTCCTTTGGATGGGTTTTTTGCAACGTGCTGTATGGGAAAAATGGGGCTTTAGGGAACTGAAAAACCCTGCAGGTCTGGATGACATTCCAGCTCTCGCTGTGTCTGTGCCTGTCTAATACTGTTACACTCTCCAGAACCATGTTATCTTCACACATATACAGCGCTGTCCCAGAGGGAAATTTTATTACTCAAGAGTTTGCTAAAAGGTATTACGAGTTTGGAGTTTGGAATTGGGAATTGTTTCATATAAGTAATACCTTTTTCCTAATTCATCAGGAGGTATAAAATAGACACAGATGAGACAATTGTTGTTATACAGTATAATTCACAACTACAGTTTACAATTATTGCGATTAGATATATTTAGATATCAAATAGTGATTTGATTTGGCAGAACTTGTGAAAAAGATGTACACTTTAGAAATAGTACTTATTGCAGAAATAATATACTTAAAAAGAAAAAGTGCAAACTGTTTTCAGACACTTAATTGCATGTTATTACAATTAAATGAAAATGTATTATAGTTTAAATTTATTTTAAATACAATTCTAAAGTTGAACTTTAGAGTGAAATTTTGACCCGAATTTCAAAATTATTTTCTATTGCCTTTGAAATTAGTGCACTGCCACATGCTGTATGTCGTTTCTGTTAAAATTTGTAAAGAATTGCACTTAATTGTAAACTGTAAATTGTAAAATTGTAAAAGTATATAATTTAAAAAAAAAACTGTACTTAGAGGTTATATAAAATATTAATAATATAAGGCCAGTAAAGAGCCCATAAAGAAAGTAAGCTTTCATGGCTGTTTCTTAACATTAATGTACACCTTTAAAGTACATTTTAAATAATGTTGTAATAATAACCTTTTGTGGTGCTGTGCAAGGTTATGTCCCATTATTTCAGGGGTGTAGTATTTGTCATGGTCATGTGATCATGGCAGCCAAAAGGTGGACCATCCTTATGTAGAATAAAGGTGAACATGATTTCACCAAGTACAACATGTTCCTGAATCAACATCTTTGTTGATCCTGGCACAACATTCCAATTAACAATCAGTCAAATCAGATTTGAGGGACAAGTTTACAGTCAATGTCAAGTTACCAGTACAACCAGGGTTAGGTGCTTCTACATCAGTATATTCCCCTCTGCTTTTAGGGATAAGTTATGGGAATAGTTAGGCCAAAATGTGTGCATCGGAATGATGTTCCAGGATCCACTAAATATGTTGTTGAACATGTCTTACTTGGCAAAATCACAGTGAGCTAGAATAAAACAACTTTTTCTAGAGTAGACCATGGACTCTTCATCTTTAAATGTATTGTTTAAACATTGGAAAAAGGAAAGATCTCATTAATTTATTTTTTATTTTTTATTTTTTACTATGGGGTCCCATTGCAGGCCACAGGGTGGAGCACCGCTCTCCAACACACACACACATAGAGCTACACACCGTGCAGGGGGAGTGTCAGTGGGTAAGAGGAAGGCAGCTGGCACGCAGCTGATTTGTCTGGAGGGTTTCACAGCAAAGTGTGGCATTCATGACCCAGCGCTCATGCAGTACAGACCGTCCACAGCTTACTTGCCAGCCTCTGCTGCTCTGGCCAGATCCCAAACGCACAGAGAGAGAGAGAGAAAGTGAGTGAGTGAGAGAGAGAGAGAGAGAGAGAGAGAGAGAGGAGAGCAGATGTGGTTAGTGTGACAGAGGAGGGAACAGTTAGGTGAACTCTAGAGGGGAATCCTGAGAGCAGAAAGAAAGGCGAGTAAGGACACAGAACTTTCCACTGCTTTTATCCTTTCACATTCCATTGATTTTACTAGATACTTAAGCTTTTAAACATGGAAGTGATTCAAGACAGCCATCTGCACCTGGAGGTGCCTGAGCTGCACAAATCCCTTACTGAGATCTCAGAAGATGAAATGAACCTCCAAGCCTCTGATGAAGAAGATGAAGCCAACACTGAGAACAAAACAAAAGATGCCAGTGAGAAAGAAGAGGCAGCTGAGGAAGGGAAAGGTGAGATGAATGGAGTCATGGTCCTGGCGCTGCTGGACAAAATCATCGGAGCCGTGGACCAGATCCAGCAGACGCAGGCCGGGCTGGAAGCCCGTCAAAAGGAGATGGAGAGATCAGTGATGGGCATCCAGGGGGAACTCACCAAACTGTCCAAGAACCACACCACCACGGCAAACACGGTCAATAAGATGCTGGAGAAGGTGCGTAAGGTGAGCGTGAACGTGAAGTCGGTGCGGGGGAACATGGAGAAACAGGCCGGGCAGATCAAACGCCTGGAGAGCAACGAGAACGAACTTCTGAAGAGAAGAAACTTCAAAGTCATGATCTACCAGGTGAGGGGTGTGCACACAGACGACACTTAGGACAGTTACATTTCAATGACGCATCAACAGTGTCTTAAATGTTTCTCTTGACATTTTCTATGATAAATAAAAGTGGAGACAAATGACAATTGTTGACATGCAATAAGAGTATAGACCTAATGAGTGCACAAAAGATAGCTCATAGCTCAGATCTTGGAGGAAATTGATAAGAAACGTTATTGTTATCTCTTCATTGTTCATAAAAGTCTCCATTTGCTCTCTATTTAATGTTATTGGTGTCTGGGAGAAACGATTGGGATATTGACGAAATCTCGTTTGTGTTTTTTCTTTCCATAATTTCCAAAGATATTTTGTAGAAGACATCACAACTGTGTTTTGTAAATGTGATTTGCATTATAGATTTGTATAGGCCAGTGTAATGTAAAATGCAGGGTACATCACATGCCACAGTTAGTTGGTAGGGTGTGGCTTTGGGTGATGAGTATATCGGGAACACTTTAGTTTAGGGTCCAACTCTCACTATTTACTATAGTTGATTATAAGCATGCATATTACTAGGATATTGGCTGTTTATTTGTACTTTAAGCACGTATTAATGCCTTATTCTGCATGATCATATTCTACATCCCTTAATCTTACCCAATAGGCTACCTAAACTTAACAACTACCTTACTAATTATTAATAAGCAGCAATTAGGAGTTTATTGAGGAAAACGTCGTAGTTGTTAGTTAATAGTGAGAACTGGACCCTAAAGTGTAACCAGGATATCTTCTATTATTAAATAGAACCATTTTTATAGTGGCACTAAAAAGTGTTTGCATACTTAAAATGCATGAATGCCATTGCATTACAGCAAAATATCAAACCAAATGTCACTTGTTTTACAGAATAAAAGTATTAGCACACTTTTCGAGCACAACATATTAAGAAGTTTAAGTCACATATACGGTTACACTGTACAGGTGTACCCTTTTCATTAAGTTTACAGACATTTCATTCAAATCTAATGTGTGCTTCACAATACGAGTAAAACACTTGTGAATAATCTGTTTATTTGTTGAAAAATCTTCCTATTAGTGCAGTACACTCTTTTTACAGACTTTTCTTGTGTAAAATTAAGTGTAAAAATTGAGTGTAAATTTAAGATTACAAAGATATTTGGTCATGTTTATAGTGAAATGTTGGTAGTTAAGGACAACTGTTTGAACTGACCTCATACTAAAAATCACCACATGATTAAAAGCCATTGGGCAAAAAATAATGAAGAAAAGACTTCTGAGAAGAAGCAACATCTTTGACATTTTGTTATCTGATATTCAGACATTAAGGTGTGGCATAAAGGGATAGTTCACCCAAAAATGAAACTTTTTTCATCATTTACTCATCCCTCAAGTGTCCCAAATCTGTTTGAGTTTCTTTCTTCTGTTGAACACAAAAGAAGATATTTAGAAAAATGTTGTTTACTAGACAGTTGATAGTAGCCACTACCATAGTACATTTAAAAAAAAAAAATAATACTACGGATGTCAATGGCTATCAACTGTCTGGTTACCAACATTCTTCAGAATTTCTTTTTAGGTGTTCAACAGAAGAAATAAACTTATACAGGTTTGGAACAACATTAGGGTGAGTAAATGATGACAGAATTTCATTTTTGGGTGAACTATCCCTTTAAGTAAAAAAAAAAAAAAGGCATTTTAAATGTATTCTGATTTCTAAAGGAAAAAAACTGTTATTGTGAACTGACGGCCACACATTGTGTGTGTTAGGAGCTGGGCTACCTGCTGCCTTATAAAAGCAGGATTCTGTTTGATGGCCGCAGAATAAACGAACACTGACATGTTTTTACATGCATTCTCTTCCCAACACGGCAGTCATGCTGGATTAATGTAGAGAAGGTCTCTTTCTTTTTCTCAGAGATGGAAAATACCACAAGCAAAAGCAGAGACTATTTTAAAAGGGTGGGAGTGGTTTGTTAGGGAAAGAGGGAATGGAAGAACATGAACAGAGGGTAAGGACAGAGTAGATGGGAGTGGGAAAAGCTACAAAAAAATGGTAGCCTCATGCAAAAATAGTCAGAGAGATTTACTCAGACAGTCTGTCTGTAGTTAGAGGTTTTTTTCGGCTATATAATGCGATGTGTAATAGCTTGCAGCTTTGCACAGTGGCGCAAGAACATTCAAAGTTTCCACACAGTGAGTCAGAAGAGGCTGGAGCTGCCCGCCCCATGCACACACACACTTCACTAATTACTCTTCCCAATATCCTTCCTTCGCTCATCAGAGAGGGAGGGTGGGTCGCTCACAATTCCACCCTGTTATTTTGCAAGTTTAGGAAGATCAAATTCCACTCTTTTCATTAATTTGTTCCTTCATTTACTTACTCAATCCCTCTTCTTTTTCTTCTAAGTCAGATATGCAAATAGATGTGAATACTTTGTCGATCGAGACGCTTTGGCTTCACTTTTCAGGACTTGTGCGGCACGCTTGGGCTAGACAGTCCCATATATAACGACGCTCAGTTCAACGTTCTCGGCCTTCGAAAGCGTCACCTTTAAAGTCTGATTAATTTGAAGGATGTAACCTTTGAATTGGGACACGGCCATTGTATATCCGCAGTCCTTGCTCTGACAGTTTACCTGTTTGAAAGACAGATACAAACTACTGCCACCTGCTGGTATGGAGAGTTATTTCCTCTCACGCATGTGCGAATGTACATGCTAGTTGACCGTTTGCCGTTAGTCTTTGTGGTGCGTTCAAATGTAACATTTCAGCCCAGATGCAGATGACGAGAGGTGATGTTGACACTAGTTCTTTGATGTCGTTTTGAAAAACTGACAAGATATTTAAGCTAATGCCTGCTATAGCACCCTTTGTATAGCAATGCTTGGGATGCTTGTTGTGTTGTAAATTGCATTCTGGCGCATTTTAGAGTGCAACGTTGCTTGAAATTAAGCTTCAGTACTGTAGAAGCGTTTACATTCAAACACTTGCATATGTTTCAGGCCTAATGCACGTCATGTGGAGAGTGCTGAACTCATCAGAGTCAAGACGTTTCAGCAATGGCATGCAAATTTAACCATTAGATAATTACATACACATCTGATTTGCATGTTCCACGGGTGTGTTGAAATGGTTTAAAGGACAAAGAGCAATCTAATCGTTTGTCTCCTTTGGCACAGTAGGCCAACTTTCCATATTTCATAATTTGTGAAATGTGTGTCTGACAGACACTCCAGGGTCACGAGTTAGAATGTGTTTAGGGGAGTTTTTTGTGTCCCTGCCCAAAGGAGACGCCCCTCTCTTCACAACCTTTAGATCTTCTGTTCTGAGTGAAAGAATAATAGTTTACATTCAGCAGGGACTGTCATGTAGTGTTGTGGAAGCTAGTTGGCAAGCTACTGAAAGCTAGTCATGATGTAATGTAGTTAGACTACAGAGACAGTAGTAAGAGGAGACGGGACACTTGTAGAAAAGGCAAAAGGATCAATCAAAATGGTCAATATTGCAACTTTGCTCTTTTCTCTTTCAAACAGATAGAAACTGTAACCGTAGTCCTAGAAACTTGTTTAGTACTGCTGAGTCTTTGCCTTTCTGACCCCTCTATATCATCACAAGCATTCATCCTGTCATCTACTGACTGTCTCTCACCCAGCTACATCTTGTGCTAACATGCTTTTGACATAATTCATTCTCTCTTTTCATGTGTTTATTCAATTGAGTGGGACAAAAAAATTGTAATTATTTTTTTTTTTGATCAGTTGGCATCAGCTAAGCATCATAGTTGTGTGTGATGTGTTTCAGGTAATAGTAAAAGTACAAATGTCTTGCAGCACATTGTCATAAAGGTTTGGACTTTTGCAATTATTAAACTTTTACGTTCTTCTTTATTTAATGTCAGTAAGCAATGTGTGCAATCCATTTTACTTAATAAGACAGATTATGAGTGAAACTTGATATCTAGGTGGGACTTAAAAGTGACCTCTGTAATTTTGTTTGCACTGGCCGATATGGCAGTTGTCTTGGAAAATAAATGCTCGGATAAACTAACACAATTATTATTGTTTCATTAGCTCATGTAAAGAGTAAGATAATGTTTTTTATGCTTTTTTAACAACCTATTAACTGTAAATATATCTCACTTTAGATTAGGTTGCGGAAAATAGAAAAATGTCATTAAATAAGTGCACCACTTAATTGTGTTTAATGTATTTGTAAACATTTTAAGGAACACTGAATATGAATGCAATTAATGTCTAACAAAGATTGCTTTAATGCAATTAATTAATCAAATTTCCCATTTTCCGTGACCTAATCTAAAGTGAGAACTATTTACTTCTACCAATAAACAATTCCTTTACAATATGAGCTAATCAAACAATAATAATTGTTAGACAATGAATGAAGAACTCTTCACTATAGCCTATCGCCTATTAATATATTAACAATGTAGAAACTGCAATATATTAACTATGAATTAACTAAAAAAATAGTTTGTTAATGATTAGTAAGTTTACTTATTATAAAGTTTTACCAATGCTTGATTACAATATACTCCTAACACTTTAATAACATTCATTGTTGCTTCTTGGGCCCTCTGGGCATCGATTTAGAGGTGTATTACAGTTCTTATTCTTCTATTCAGTGAAAGCAGGAAAGGGAATAAGAGAGGAGGGTTTTGTGGTAGGGTGTGGTGTTTTAACAAAGTGGAGCTCATATTTACCGTGCTGATTCATTCTTCAGGCATCCTGACTCCTAAAACTCCCCTGTCTCCATCCAGCTCTCTTGCTTCTCATCCCATTTTGCAACCACTCTGTTCTACCCTTCCAGTATATCACACATTTACGAACCTGCCAGTACCTTTCACACCCTGATACTCCCTGCCTCCAAAATCCTGACAGCTCATTGGCCTGAACTTTCCCGTAAACTGTTGAACACATTTGCTATGACTGTTACTGCACTGTAAAAAGTAATACCTAGATCTAACTTATAAAAAGTGAGGCAAGTGG